TCAGAAAATTGTATTGGATAAACCACATTAACTCTAATTTCTGATACAGAACACATGCCATGGCCAGCAATGGGGAAGGAGTGGCAGGTGGCGTGAAAGGAGCATAAATAAATTAAATTAATTTAGAGGAAGGAGGCTCGTGGACCAGATTTTTGTCCTCATGACAAACCTGTGGGTCCCTGGCCCACAGGTTAAGAGCAGTCATAGAGTCTCAACCAATTCAACCTAGCTTGTGGCAGCCACAAAAATGAAGTTTCTGGAATAGAATAACTACTTTCAAAGTAAGTACAGTACAATTAAACAGGAAATAATACTTTCAAACCAGGAACAGAACATTTTTCAAATTTTGTTACATAGTGTTATTATTATCAATTATTATTGTTGTTGTTTATGTTGTGCCCCCAGCTCTTTTGGAAAGCTATTTCTCTCTTTCCCTTTCAAATATTTGCTTTGGACCACTTTTTAGAACTGACCCGATTACTGGGCAGATTTCAAAACCTATTTCTTGTACCATGTACAAATCTCAATGTCTTGCTACATAATTATGGAGTGTTGTTTTTTTTTAAAAAAAAACAAAAACAGGATTATTGCTTCTTGCTCAGCCCTGTCTGCCTCATAAATAAATTTGCGACATATAAATTGGTATGATAACAACCATCATAATCTCTTTTATAGCAATGCTTTGGAACATTTTGGAAAATGGGTCTGTAAGAAGACCACTGTCCCTGTCAGCACATAATGTTCTCAACACAAGTCACCAGATTTATGTAGCAGGTATTAATTATTACCAAAGTGATTGTATAGAAATGTTCAAAGTTTTGTACTTTGACTTTTAACAAATTGCTTGTTTTGGTATCTTAATGAGCATTCCCACCAGGGATATTTCCCAGTCAAACTAATTGCTGTGTTCCTAGATATCATTTCCTATTAATGGTGACCCTAAGATGTTCCAGTGGGATTGCTGTTGTTGTTTTGCAAGATTAATCCTTAAAGGGTTTGCCATTGTCTTCTCCTGAGGCTGAGAGACGGATTTGCCACTGGATTTCTATGACCATTTATCATAATCACTCATGTCATGCAACAATGACATTCCTGTATTGTTGTAGGCTTTCATGGCTGGAACCACTGGGTTGTTGTGAGTTTTCCGTGCTGCATGGTCATGTTCCAGAAGCATTCTCTCCTGATGTTTCGGCTGCATCTATGGCAGGCATCCTCATAGGTTGTGAATTCTGTGTTGTGAGGTCATCCTCACAACCTCTGAGAATACTTGCCATAGATGCAGGCAAAACATCAGGACAGAATGCATCTGGAACATGGCCATACAGCCCAGAAAACTCACAACAACCCGATGACATCCCTGGTACAGTCAGACAGCATATGGACAAAAGGGGGGGGGGCATGGACAAATTGGGGCAGGAAACTGGAAGGTGACAATAGTTGGCCATAAAGATCAATTGCTTTGATGTGTGGGAAAGGGCAGGCATCAAAGGATTTCTGTTATTTATAACGTTACTGTGACCAACCTTCCCTCCCTCTTTCTCTCCTCCTTTCTTTCTCTCCTTCCTTCCTTCCTTCCTTCCTTCCTTCCTCCTCTTCCTCCCCCCCCCCTTTTTCTTTACCTTCCCCTTTCTCCCCTTTCTTCCTTCTCTACCTATTCTTGGACTCCAACTCCCAGCAGTCCTCCTAATCAATTTATCTCCCTACCTATGTATCTATCTTTCTAATCTATCTATCTTATCTATCTGGAGGATTATTGGAAGTTGCAGTCCAGGAATAGGAAATTGGAAATATGCAGGGATTGGGAAGCTCTCAAAGAAATCCCAGGAGAAGAAAGCTTGCAGCTTGGAAGCAGTGCATTTGGATCATCCTACTGTCCTAAAGGGCCTGATCTAGGGGATGCTGGGAACTGTAGTCCAAAAGTGAGTGTGGATATGCTATTGTGTGCTTTTTTTGCCAGGGGGAGTCATTTTGTGCATACGCTGTAGCATCTTTTTGCTTTTTTGGCTTTTTAAGCCCCTTCCACTGTATTTTTCAGTTTTTAATGAGTGATGGTCACTCGTTGGCCTGATAGGTGTATTGTGTCCAAATTTCGTGTCAATTAGTACAGTGGTTTTTGACTTATATTAATCCCACAAATGAACATTACATTTTTATTTATATAGATAGGTAAAGCCCCATATATATGGGCTGAAGAGCATGACTCATGTATTCAGAACATTAAAGATACTTGGTAACCTTGGCTCCTGTGGGTCTTGGAGAATCATTTCAGGAGAAAGCTAACTCTATAGCAGGCATGGGGCAACTTGGGCTTAAGTGGCTGAGGGGGAAAAGGAAGGGGCCTGAGGCTGTTAGGAATTGTGGGAGTTGAAGCCCAAAACATCTGGAGGGCCCAAGTTTGCCCATGCTTGCTTTATAGCAACACAGTCGATGCACAAAGGGACCATTACAGTTTGTTCAGAATTACCAGCGCTCTCTCTCTAAGCTTCTCCTCCAGCAAACATATAGTCCAACACTGAAACCTGGCTGGCTCTCAATTTGCCAATCTAATAAACAAGGGGAATCAGCAATTGGAAAGTCAATGGAGGAGCCCCACATTTCCATTAACAGGAAGGAGATGACGTCCAAGGTGAAATTTCTCACATGGAGCCGGACTCGGGGTTAGAAGACAGTAAGAATCTACCTTGGTGGAGCAGCAGATTAAACTGCTGAGCTGCTGAACTTGCTGACCGAAAGGTTGGCAGTTCGAATTCAGGGAGCAGGCTGAGCTCCCGCTGTTAGCCCCAGCCTCTGCCAACCTTGCAGTTCGAAAACATGCAAGTGTGACTAGATCAATAGGTATCGCTTCTACGGGAAGGTAATGGCACTCCATACAGTCATGCTGGCCACATGACCATGGAGGCGCCTACGAGCAATGCCGGCTCTTCAGCTTAGAAATGGAGAGGAGCACCATCCCCCAGAATCGGACACGACTACACTTAATGTCAGGGGAAAACCTTTACCTTAAGAATCTAAAAAGAATTGTCAGTACAGACGATACCATTTCACTACACAAGTAACACAGAATTGAAGGAAAGTGGACAGGAATGTGGTCCTTATTACAAGGTGGATGAAGGGCACACTGGAAAGATAAGATAATTGTGGCGCATTTAAAGTTTTGTAACAATTTCATGACTCAGACAGAAACGCTTTGTGCCACGACAATGACCAAAACTTTGGCATTCCTAGTAATTCTTTTAAGGTTTTCCTTTTCTCCCAAAGGGTTTTGTTTTTGTTTTTTGCAAGCTGAAGTTCCTATGATTCTTCACACTGGTCTACTCCATAATGTTTCAGGAGATCCTCTTCAGGACTTTTAAAATGGGTTTCCTTCTTGCATCCCCACTTAAAGGTATGTTTATCAGTGGGTGTTATTCCAAATAGACCAGTAGTCCCGGTCCCACCTCAGAAGACTCAAAACCAATCCCCTTGAAGTATACAGGCAGCCTATTCATGCTCACTCGACTCAGACTCCCTAGATCATTGGCATAATAGTATTTCTGCTTCCTTGCTGGAGTCGTTACTCATCAGTGTCGAGGTTTTGCATCATTAGTTGAAGCAACCACAATGAAAATATGGTATCGTAGCTACTTCTGCCAATAGGGCCCTGCAAAAACCTCTCTTAAGCCAAACAATGCCCCAATTAAAGGGCTTCTGGAGGTGCTGAAAACCAGGGAAATGAGGAAGGTTGACTGCAGAGCTATTCCAGCAACAGTTGCTGTTGTTGCTGCTATTGTTATTACCTGTATTTACTTGAGTCTCATGTGCCATTGAATCTAATGTACACCTCAATGTTCAAAATCCAGAAACCATAGAAAGTATTTGCTGCCAAATATAATGTGCAGCAGCAAAAAGTGCACTCTTTGTAATATTACTATTGCAGTTGCTGCCTGCTTAGGATTCCTCCTTTAGAAAGAAAAGCGTTAGGACACCAAAGCTTCCAACAATGGAAAGGAAGACCTTGGGATGCATCTATGGTATAGAATGAATCCACTTTAACTGCCTTGGTTCAATACTATGGCATCATGTAGTGTACAGTTTGACAAAGCCTTAAGCCTTCTCTGTCAAAGGATGCTGATGCCTCACCAAACTACAAATCCCAGCATTGCATAGCACTGAGCCATGGCCATTATTTTTTTTCTGTGTCAGGAGTGACTTGAGAAACTACAAGTTGCTTCTGGTGTGAGAGAATTTGCAGTCTGCAAGGACATTGCCCAGGGGATGCCCTGATGTTTGATGTTTTACCATCCTTGTGGGAAACTTCTCTCATGTCCCCGCATGAGGAGCTGATTTGAGGTAGCTCAAATCACTTTCCCCAGATTTGAACCACTGACCTATTGGTCAGCAGTCCTGCCTGCACAAGGGTTTAACCCATTGTGCCACAAGGGGCTCAAGGCCATTAAATGAGAGATGATATCCCTCAAAGAGGAGCTCTTGAAGCTGCTTCACATTTTGCTTTGGTTCAGCACTAAGATCACCATATGATGCAAATCTAATGTGCCCCCTAATTTTGGCCAGCTCATTTCGCCCCAAAAGGTGAGCATTAGATTCGAGTAAAGGCAGTATTATTATCGTTGTAGTCATCCTCCTCCTCAAAGGAGTGAACAATGCTGGGGAAACTATAGCAACGACTTGTCTTAACATACCCCAAACTGGAAGAGGGTTGTAGACATCCTTCCACATCACACCAGTCTGCAACACTTTGGAAATCCTTTGGTTGGGGCAATGCCTGGCTTAAGAGCTAGCTTTTGGGATCAGGTTAACAACCGCAAGTCTCAGTCCCCAAAGTGATGAGATCATGGGTCCAGCTTATTACCTTGTAACTATAGGAGGCCAGCCATGTTTCTTGAGGCTGACCAAGAAACAAGGACCTGGTTGCTAGTCTTTAAAACAAACGTTGCATCAAAAAACATCGCCACCACTGCAAGGTAAGCAACTATGCCTTCTTGCAGCAGGATATTCGCCTGTTTTGCTTTTGTCCCATTCTAAACGCCCAGTTAGGATAATCCAGCCCAAATAAGAGTTCAGATTTCTTCCAAAACAGAAAGTGGAATCATTTAAAAGCGTCTTGGAAAAAGGCAACAGAGAGAGGCAGCAAAGGGAATGAGAAACTAGATTGAATGGGCAGAGGAAAATTCCTCCCTACACAGATCCCGAGGCAAGCAAGAGATGGCTGGAATGTGGCTTCTGTTTACCCTGGACACAAAATTCCTTTGAAAGGCATAGCGCACAGCACTAAAAACAGTTTAGAAGACATTTTGGAGTTCTGGAACTCCAATCGCTCCTATATGTCCAAGAAAAGTTGAATGTTGATATTATTCATATTTTTTAAAGATCATGATCTTGATAAATATCGAACAACGAATCCTACAAAAAGACGTCTTGGTGTTACCCTGCCCTGCTTTGACTACTAGAGAAGGGCTTCCCGGTGCAGGCCCCGCTTATCGTCGGGATCAGGGTCCACGTCATCATCGTCATCCGGGGGGTCGTTCTCGTCCCCCGACTCCACATAGATGGGCCAGTCATTGTCTGGATCTCTCTTCTCCGAACCTTCCGAGGAAGGCTCCATCAGGCTGAGGTTGATGGGCATGGAGTCCTCATGTGTAGTCGTGACACACGTGCAGCTGTCACACAGACCGAAGCGCCGCAAGCCTTGGGACAGGCTGCTGGTGAATGTTCTCCGGCAACCTTTGCAGATGATGGGCTTGTTGGAGCGATGGACCTGGAAAGGTGAAGTAGAGCAGGAAAGTGAGTGGATCAGGCCATCACTGGAGGTTGATACCAAACAATAGGGCCAGTTATATGGTATTTGGGGGCCAGCAGAAGTCATCTGGAACACATCAGCAGCATGGGAGCAGGGCTCTTAATCGGATAGTAAGAGTGTTACATTCATTTTCATGGAGGGCCACATCAACCTTCAAAAGGCCATTGAATCCTAACCTGTCAGAAAGTATCTCTCCTTATGAACCATCTAGGACCCAAAGATCTTCTGGGGAGGGCCTGCTCTCAGTCCCGCCTTCTTCACAGACTCAGTTGGCGGGAACAAGGGACAGGGCCTTCTCAGCGGTGGCCCCCTGGCTATGGAACGCCCTGCCTAGGAATATCAGATCAGCCCCCACCCACCTAACATTTCAAAAAAAAAAAGTTAAAACCTGGCTTTTTGAGAAAGCTTTCCCAAATGCAGTGTAGCAGACAAACTCTGATCTTCAGAACGATTGGACAATGTGATCGGGTAATGATTTTAGTAATGAGACGCTGTGGAATTATACTTTTATCGGTTTTATTTTTATTTTATCAAATGTTATTTATGCTAAATGTTTAATTGTTCTTTGTTATTGTAGGCATCAAATTGTGCCATTTGTAAACTGCCCTGAGTCGCCTCTGGGCTGAGAAAGGCGGTATATAAATATGGATAATAATAATAATAATAATAATCCATGGATGGAGAATCGTTTAGACAGAGAGAGGACCAACTATAATTTCTTTTGTCAGAGATATTAAGTATTAACTAGGTATTTTTGATTACAAAAGTGTGAATCAAACACTGAAAGAGTGAGTAGGCCAAAGCCTGTTAGAGTTAGTGGGCCAAAGCTAGCGTCGCCCTGAGGAGAGGGAGTAGGCCGAAGCCTGTTAGAGTTAGTGGGCCAAAGCTAGTGTCACCCTGAGGAGAGGGAGTAGGCCGAAGATGATTCGTGTTATTTCGCCTCAGTGCGGGAACTTCTCAGTCAGTGTGTGAGGCAAACATCTGTGTGAGAGAAGCTTCGGAGAAAGAAGCCCCACGTTGGAGGCCGCATGTGTACTGCGTGTAAAGCTACTATGTATTTGTTTATTTGTGTTATAGAAACCTTGTTATTGTAAATAGTATAACCATACTATTTCACTACGAAGAAAAGCCTCCTCTGGAAGAGAAAACATTTGTCTGTGTGTTTTTATGCTTTTATCACTTTGGGCTACTGGTGCGGGTCACACCGCTGCTAATGAGTTGCTCTGCTATGCATTTTTGAGGAGGGTCTTTTGTTATCAAGCCCACTCGCCCAACATATTTTATATAGCATTCAGTGCCCTTTAGATTCCACCCAGTTTGGGTCCCCAGACGTTACTGAATGACAACTCCCATCACTTTTGATTATCTGCCATAGGGACTGGAGAGAATGGTAGCTGCAGTTGAATGGCCCTTGTGGCTTCGAAGTTGAGGAAAGGTGATAGGGCATTTTGAAGTCATCCATCATACCTACAAGCCTTGTATCTCAATCCAAACTCCACCCACCTGACTACACAGAAGAAACGACAGCCTTCCAGATGTGACCGTATCCCAACTCCCATCACCTCTAGCCATGATAACATCTCATGATGAGGAATACAGGAGTTGTAGTCCAGCATCTGAAGGGCCACATAAAATGACAGGAAGGGTCAGATTTGGGCTGCAGGCCTTGCATTTGATACAAGTGTCCTAGATGACATGTGTATTGATTTTATAATGTTTTAAATGTTTTATTTGCATATCGTGGATTGTTATGGCATTGAATGGCTGCCAATTTGTAAACTGCCTTGAGTCGCCTTCGGGCTTGAAAAAGGAGGGATAGAAATAGCGTAAATAAATAAATCTATATAAATAAAAATGTAATGTTCGTTTGTGGGATTGACATAACTCAAAAAGCACTGGACGAATTGACACCAAATTTGGACACAATACACCTATCAAGCCATTGAGTGACTATCACTAATACAAGCACTGAAAAACACTGCGGATGAGACTTAAAAAGCCAAAAAACAAAAAATACATTACAACGCGTGCGCAAAACCACATATATACACATATTTAATGTAATATAATATATTGTATATACATATAATATTTATAATATTATAATGTACTACAATATAATAATAATAAGATATTATAATTATATAATTTATATTACATGTAATATTACTAATAAAATTACAATATAATGGTATAGTACAATATAGTAATATATAATACTGGTATTGTACTATGCTAATAATATAATATATTGTATGTATATATATCTTGTTAGCCACTTTGAGTCCCCTTCGGGGTGAGAAGGGCAGCATATATATGTCGCAAATAAATAAATAAATATACACAAATATATACACACACAAGACACATATACACAGACTGGGCCACAGCAATGCTTGGCAGGGGACAGCTAGTAAATAAATAAAAGTCTCCCTGCCAACTTTCCCCAGAGTCACTCACTCCTCACCAGTCCTGTTTACAAGCCTGTTTGTTTGTTTGTTGATTTCAATCTGTGACTATGCAGATCTGCACAGGTCAAGCCACCCACTGCCCAGCTTTCTCCTTACACTCAGAGCGTGGCTCCGGAGGTGCTCCTGCCGTGTGAAGCGCTTGCCACAGATCTCGCAGGGGTAGGGCCTCTCGCCGGTGTGCGAACGGATGTGGCGCTTCAGGATGCCTTTCTGTTTAGCCGTGTAGGGGCAGAAAGGGCATTTGTGCAGCTTGATGGGCACCACAAGCACGTCGCCTGTGGAAACACAAAAGTGTTGTGGAGGACTGACTTTGAAACCAAAGTCAGAGAAATCCTGAATGTTCCTACAAACTTTAAAGAAATAAAATCAACAATAAAAAAACTTAAAATTGGTAAATCCTCAGGCCCAGCTGGACTTAGTCCCAATATTTACTTTTTAAATGTGATTTCTTTTTAATTTATGCTTTTAATCTTATTTATTTACAGTTGATTTCATCTGGTTCATATACACAAAAAAGGCATCACATAGTCATCTTTTTCGATATTGATGGCAGTAATTAGACAAACATATATAAAGCATAAACTTACAATTCTTTAGCTGCACCTAATCATTTTATACATTCTGTTTAATTGGCTCCCCGCTGTCATTCCAAAACAACTAAAAATAGAATCCAAAACCATACTTAACTATTTCCTTTGTTTTATATGGCATTTCCCATTTATAGTGTTAACTTTCCAAAATAAAGCAGAAATATAAAAAGGGTTTTTTTTGTTCCAAATTGTATTGGATCACTTTCTATCATTATTAAGAGCCAGTTTTAGCACAGTAGGTTAATCACCAGCTGCAGCTCCAGCAAATCTTGCCAATCAAGAAGTTGACAGTTCAAAGCTGGGTCAGGGTGAGCCCCTGACCTTCAGCCCAGCTCCTCCACCCATCTAGCGGATCAAAAACAGCAAAGTGAATAGATGAATAGAAACCACATTAAGTGGGGAGGTATTTTAGGCACAGTGTTACAGAGGAAGATTTACAAACAAAGAAGGCTCTTTGGCAAGGAGATGGAGCAACATCACCCTCCTGTGGCCGGAACCAAGCGTAGCCTCCAAAAGATGACGAATGATGAGAAAATGCCTAAAGATACCTCTACCTGTTGTCTGTCTTCTCACTGTATAATTGACATTGAATGTTTGCCATATATGTGTTCTGTGAGAAGGATGGAATATAAGTACTGTGAATAAATAAATTGTATAAATTTTACTTATTAATCCTTCTGTACCATTGGTAGTGTCCAGACATTTATCTTATATAAGACCATAATTGTACATAGCACTACTCTCCCAAACCGTGACAATTTTAGTTTTTTATATCCAAGTTGTTTTTCTTTTATCTCTTCCTTCAACTTATCAAAATTCAGTTTTTACAATTTTTAGCTATATTTATCCCTAAATATTTGATACAGTCAATAATTTTAATCTTATTTTTCCTTTTAGTTTCTTCTATTTCCCATTTACTATTATTAATTAGCATAATCTTAGACTTACTCTAATTTATTCTCAAACATGTTACTTCTTTAAAAATTTCCAAATGTATCTGAATGTCTTCTAAAGCTTTTGATGGTTCTATATAGTTAACAAGGTGTCATCTGCAAATAAACTAATTTTTACTTTTTCTTCTTGTCCTATTCCTTTCACATCTTTGTTTTGCCTTATTGCATTCACTAATAATTTTATCACTAGTATAAATGAAATTGGAGATAAAGGGCAACCTTGTCTAGTTTCTCAGCTTAGGTCAATTTGTTCTGTATCTCCATAATTAACTAATACTGAAGATTTATTCTTTGCATATCAGCTTGTAATAATATAAGTCGGATGCTTGTAACTCGGGGACGTCCTGTATCCTATATCTATCGAGACCAAACAGGCCTTATCCCGGGTAGGACATTACCAAATTCTATCAGAAGAGTTCTAAATATCATTTATGAAAGGTGCTTGATTCCTGCAGCTTCTCACCTGCATCCTCTCCATACCAGTCGTTGTCCATCATAGAGCTCATGGGCATGGCACTATCCTCCGGCCTCCCCTCGAAGCCACGTACAAAGTGATGCACAACATCCTCCTTTCTCTGCGTGGCACTGTTGCGCAGCAGGGCCTCCAGGAACTGCTTCATATGGTAGTTGTTGCAGGCTAGGTCCATGGCCTGGCCGCTGTGGAGACCCTCCTCAATCTGCTCCATGGTCAGTGGAGTTGAGAACTGCGGTAGCCGATCGCCCACCTCCACCTCATCGGCGTCGAACTCCACTTTGGGCTCCACCACTTTGGGCAGTGAGGAGTTTGTGTCGTCTGGAGAGTCACTGTCGACTGTATCCCGGACCATCAACTCAATGGGGTGGCAGTTGTCACACTCCCCACAGGGAGGGTCTCGGTGACAATCTGGGATCCTGTCCTTGTCTTGCAAAGATGAGACGGAGGCCGAGCACTGGTTTTTTGTGGCGAATGATGTGCCTTCTCTGGCAGAACTGCTGCTCCCACTGTCGGCCTGGTAAAATGCGGCCTCTCGCTCTATTTTCCTGCAGATATCCAGCGAGGACCGGATGTATGCCTTACAGAAGTTGACAACGTCTGTCATCTGTAGGTAACTGGCCGCAGACATGACTTCGATCACGTTCTCCCCACAAAGGTCCAGTTTCCCAGAATAAAGGAAGTCCAGGATAACCGAGAAGGCTTCAGATGTCACGATGTCCAAGGATGCAGTGCTGTGCCTGCCACTGTCTTGTATGTAGTGGATCAAGAGTGCTCTGAAGTAGCCACTGTTGGCGAAGAGGATGTTCTTGTGGGCCTTGAAGATCCTCCCTTCGACAATGATGCTACAGTCACAAAAGAAGTCCCTCTTCCGCTGCTCGTTGAGCTCCCCCAAGAGTTTGGCGTAGTACGATTGCATCTCCATGGCTTTGGCACAGCAAGGAAGCACTTCTCACGTCTGCAAGGAAAATCAGGGGAGAACATTAGGAGAGGAGCGCCTTTCCCTTTGGGCACTGGGTCACAAGGCTTCTCATCCTCAATGAATTCACATGGAACTGAATCAGGCGTACTGTAGGATTCCATAGGATATAATTATGACTGCAAAATTGACACTGCAGGGCTATAACTGTGTAATATGAAAAGGCATGGGGTCTCCGACAGTATGGATAGCATCCTATGCTCCAAACTAGACTTTCCCCTTTCCACTTTTGTGCTGATTGCACACAAAACCCCAGCTAGAATCATAGAATTGGAAGGGACCCCAAGGGACACCCAGTCCAACCCTTTTGTGCTATCCAGGAATTCCCAAGCAAAGTTCTGACAGATGGCCATCCAGCCTTCGCTTAAGAAAGCTCCAGGGAAGGAGGCTCTATTGGATTCCTAGGCAGCATGTTCCATGGTTGGACAGCGCTTACCATCAGGAAGTTCTTCCTAGTGTTCAAGTGGAATCTCTTTTCTTGCAATTTGAATCCATGGCTCCGTTGTGATCAGCGGCAGAGGTCCTGCTCTCGGTCCCACTCCCATCTCAAGTGCAGTTGGTGGAAACAAGACAGAAGGCCTTCCCTGTGATTGCCTCCACCTCTGGAACTCCTTCCCTAAAGAAATAAAGATGGCCCCCTCCCTCCTCTCCTTCAAAAAACAACTGAAGACTCACTTTTGCTCACTAGCATATGGAGAGGAGGAGGATTAGATAATGTGAGATCACTACTGGACCTCTGGTTGAGAACTATTATTGTATTTGGGCTCTGTTAGTATATGTTGGCCCAGCTGTCATCACCAGTCACATATTCAACCCATATGACTTTGTGAACTTTGGTTGGTTTCTGGAAATCAATGTAGATGTTTTATTTAGGTTTTATGTCACTATATAATTTTGTTTGATTACGTTTTAATGTTTGTTAGGTTTTAATGTTGTTTTCATATATGGAGTGATTCTGTATTATTTTGTTGGGTGACTTTGGATTATTTTGTTTTATTGTGGCATTGAATGTTTGCCCTTTTGTATGTTGGAATCTGCCCTGAGTCCCCTTGGGGAGATAGGGCGGAATCGAAATAAAGTTTTATTTATTTATTTATCATCTCCAGAGCAGCAGAAAACACTCTGGTCCTCTCCTCCATGTGGCATCCTCTCAGCTACACATTTTGGTGCCTCAAATGTTAGACCTCTTTCTGGGTATATTTGAGGGTAAAATTGACCAGATAAGTACTGGCTTTCACTATCAGCTCTAGTTTTGAAGATATATATGAGTTTCCAACTGGTCGGCCATAGAAAACCAGGATAACCGTATCTAAGAAACTAGAGTTGATGAAGTCTGTCCAATGCAGTTTTCCAAATCAGCAGCTCAAATTTCCCAGGAACAGGTAAAAAATATCCCAAAATATGTTGGTTTTTTGTTGTTGGCTGTGATATTTAAATATGTCTGTCAACCTTCTCAACCTTCTAGAATCTAGAGCAATGGTTCTCAACTTGCGGGCCATGGCCCAGCAGTGGGCCGCGGGAATGAAAATCTGGTCTGCGAACCTTCTTCCTCTTTATTTTTTTAAATTAATTTCCATTTCTTTCTTTTCCACACAGAGCTGACCCCTTTTGGTACTAATGTTGGAGAGTGACCCCTGAACAAAGTGGTCCCTGATCAAAGTGGTCCCCGGTCAAATGGGTCTTGGTCAAAGTGGGCCCTGGTCCAAAAAAAAAAAAAAAAGGTTGAGAACCACTGATCTACAGCCATGAGGAGAGGAAGGTAAGAAATAAAAGCTGTTGTTGTTAATATTATTAATATTATTATGATATGAAACACATTTTTTGTTTCTGGGTTATAAATGTCATTTTCAGTGCTGATTGTGTTTAAGTGCAGGCCAAGGTCTTTATTATTATTATTATTATTATTATGGAGCCCCCTGGTGGTACAGCAGGTTAAACCGCTGAGCTGCTGAACTTGCTGACTGAAAGGTTGGTGGTTAGAATCCGGGGAGCGAGATGAGCTCCCGCTGTTAGCCCCAGCTTCTGTCAACCTAACAGTTTGAAAACATGTAAATGTGAGTAGATCAATAGGTACAGCGACGGTGGGAAGATAACAGCACTCCATGAAGTCATGCCAACCACATGACCTAGGAGGTGTCTACAGTCAACACCAGCTCTTCAGCTTAGAAATGGAGATGAGCACCACCCCAGTCGGACACGGCTAGACTTATTGTCAGGGAAAACCTTTACTTTTACTATTATTATTATAGCCCACAATGAGACTCTCCAATTATTATGCCTACACTGGGGTTTAGAACATCTAGGGAAAGGATTTTAGAGAACCCAAGCTATTGAGAGGGGTCTAAGTATGGAAATTGCAAAATAACCAAGAAGATGAGGAGAAAGCTGGCGTCAAGGGGTTGGCACTTCTTCCTCAATCCTCTTCCTGCGAGAAGCCAAAACCATGCAAGGTGACCCTTGGAGGAAGGGGCATTAGGACCTGAGCAGAATCCGCCTCTCTTGCCAACCATGTGGTTTTCGTAGCATGACCCTCCAGGGGAAAAGCCAGCCTGACCAAGGAACAAAGAATTTCCAGTCCAGCCAGCATAGAAGGCAAAGGCCCCAAATATCCCTAAGCATCCTCCTTTTTTATTTTTTTGCCTGCGATCCATATCAATCAATCTTTCTCCAATTCTGGGCTGCTTTCCTCTGCTCGTCCTTCTCTTTCTTCCACTTCAACATTTCCACATTGTATTTGCCAAACTGTTTCCCACTTATTTTCCCCCACAAATTAATTGCAAACATGAGACACACATTGGGTTTGATAGCACAAAGGGTTCCTCGGCCATTGTGTTATCAAAAGAGGCACCAATAAGGTTATCTCTTTTTCTTTATTATTCCCGGAATAAGGTCAACGGAAATGATAGTGATGCCACTGTACCCATTTTGCAGGCCAGAGGACTGAGGTGTGGTTAAAATACCTTGAGCTTCAAAGCAGAGTTAAATCCACAGTAAAACAGTATATAGATCTGAGCGCATGAGACATAAACCACGTCTAGTTTGAAAGCATCTTGATAGGAAAGTGGTTCTAACAATCAGAAATTTCAGGTTCGCAATACTCAATCTAATTATTGTGATTCAAATGGCAAAGTGTTATTATTATTATTATTATTATTATTACTATTTTACTGACACAAAAACACAGTATGACACAGCAAATCAGATATATATGATGGATTTCGTAACAAAAAATCACAAGTCGAACACTTTCCAAGTATTTAGGACTGTGTGATGTATTATTACTATTATTATTTGATATAAAACAAGATTAATACACAGCAAACAAGGTCACTATACTGGCTTTTGTATTTGATCACACGTCGGACACTTCCCAAGTGTCTAGGACTGTGCGATGTATCGGCGAATAATGCATGCAGATCCGAGTAGGGTGGCCTTTTGCAGCAAACAGATGGTAATTTTGTCAGCACTGGTTGTTCTTAAGTACAGGCCAAGGTCTTTGGGCACTGCACCCAGTGTGCCAGTCACAACTGGGATCACCTTTACTGGCTTGTGCCAAAGTCTTTGCAGTTCTATATTATTATTATTATTATTATTATTATTATTATTATTATTATTATTATTATTATTCAGAGACAGGGTAGTTGTTTGTTGGGAGGGCTTTGATTGTGCTTTTTCTGCCTCGGAGAAGGAGGTTGGACTGGACTGCCCTTTCAATTCTAGGATTCTTTGAGCCTACACCTCTATTTCTCCATGAGCCTGCTTATGACCATGAGTGCGGATGGCCATCTGTTGGAAGGGTTTGGATTGTGTCTTCCGGCCTGGGAGGATGAGGTTATACTGGGTGACCTTTTCCTATATAGAGAAATATAGGCTTTTAATAGGAGTTTAATGGAGGATTCTTAACAGAAGCTGCGTGGCCATCAGTCGGGAGGGATCGGATTGTGTCTTCCTGCCTGGGGGCTGGACTGGATGGTCCTTGGGGTCTCTTCCAACGCTATGATTCTATGAAAATACCTTTGAGCATGTGCTAAGTGCATTTCTCTTACCAAAGGCAAGCTGCCCTAGATTGTGCCTCTTGCTTTAAAGCGAACTCAAATGCAATTCCTTGCAGGGAATTGAACCAGTGCTTCTGACCTTGTGCAGACTGCCCCTTCCCCAATTCACCAGAATCCATCCACAAATATTGAAAGTAAGGTTTAGGCTTTTTAAGGCCGGGGCATGAAAGGTTGCTAGAAAGACAGAAGGTCCCACTGCTATCTCTCCCAACCACCTTAGAATCATTGGATCCTAGAGTTGAAAGGGACCCCCAAGGGTCATCCAGTCCCGCCCCTTTCTGCCAAGCAGGAAGACACAATCAAAGCCCTCCTGACAGATGGCCATCCAACCTCTGCTTAAAAGCCTCCTGAGAAGGAGACAGGCAGACAGATTTCTAGAGGTGGAAGGGACCCCCAAGTGCCATCCAGTCCATCCTCCTTCTGTTAAGCAGGAATATACATTCAAAGCCCTCCCAACAGATGGCCACCCAGCCTCTGCTTAAACCCCTCTTGAGAAGGGGATTGAAGATAGATAGACAGAATCCTAGAGTTGGAAGACACCCCAAGGACCATCCAGTCCCGCCCCTTTCTGCCAGGCAAGAAAACGCAAAGCCTTCCTGACAGATGGCCATCCAGCCTCTGCTTAAAAGTCTCTCGAGAAGAAGATAAGGAGATAGATAAATAGATAGATTTCTATGGAAGACCCCAAGGGTTATCCAGTCTAGCCCTTTTCTGCCAAGCAGGAAGACACAATCAAAGCCCTCCCAATAGATGGCCATCCAGCCTCTGCTTAAAAGTCTCTCGAGGAGATATATAGATAGATAAATAGATATATAGACAATTCCTAGAGTTGAAACAGATCGCAAGGACCATTCAATCCAGGCCCCTTCTGCCAAGCAGGAAGACACAATCAAAGCCCTCCCAACAGATGGCCATCCAGCCTCTGCTTAAAAGCCTTCTGAGAAGGAGATAGATAGATAGAATCCTAGAGTTGAAGGGACCCCCCCCAAGCACCATCCTGTCCAGCCGCTTTCCATCAAGCAAGAATAGAATAGGAGATAGATAGATAGATAGATAGATAGATAGATAGATAGATAGATAGATGATAGGTATAATCCTAGAGGGGGGACGTGTGGCTCGAGAGCAGTACGTGTAAAACCGATCTTGGGTTCCTCGTGGACAACAAGTTAAACATGAGCCAACAATGTGATGCAGCGGCAAAAAAGCCAATGTGATTTTGGCCTGAACAATAGGAGCATAGTGTCTAGATCTAGGGAAGTCATGCTACCCCTCTATTCTGCTTTGGTTACACCACACCTGGAATATTGTGTCCAATTCTGGGCACCACAATTGAAGAGAGGTATTGACAAGCTGGAATGTGTCCAGAGGAGGGCAACTAAAATGAGGAGTGGCTTAAAGAGTTGGGCATGTTTAACCATGCAGAAGAGAAGGCTGAGAGGATGATGATGGCCATGTATAAATATGTGAGAGAAATCATTGGGAGGAGGGAGCAGGCTTGTTTTCTGCTACCTTGGAGACTAGAACTTCAAACTACAGGAAAGGAGATTCCACCTGAACATGAGGAAGAACTTCCTGACTGCGAGAGCTGTTCAGCAGTGGAACTCTCTGCCCCAGAGTGTGGTGGAGGCTCCTTCTTTGGAGGCTTTTAAACAGAGGCTGGATGGCCATCTGTCAGGGGTGATTTGAATGCAATATTCCTGCTTCTTGGCAGGGGGTTGGACTGGATGGCCCATGAGGTCTCTCCAACTCTTTGATTCTATGATTCTATGATTAGGAAGAACTTTCTGACTGAGAGCTGTTCAGCAGTGGAACTCTCTGCCCAGAGTGTGGTGGAGGCTCCTTCTGTGGAGGCTTTTAAACAGAGGCTGGATGGCCATCTGTCAGGGGTGATTTGAATGCAATATTCTTGCTTCTTGGCAGGGGGTTGGACTGGATGACCCATGACACTTCCAACTAGATTCCATCTGAACATGAGAGGAAGAACTTCTCTGAGAGCTGTTCAGCAGTGGAACTCTCTGCCCCGAGTGTGGTGGAGGCTCCTTCTGTGGAGGCTTTTAAACAGAGGCTGGATGGCCATCTGTCAGGGGTGATTTGAATGCAATATTCCTGCTTCTTGGCAGGGGGTTGGACTGGATGACCCATGAGGTCTCTTCCAACTCTTTGATTCTATGATTCTATGATTAGGAAGAACTTCCTGACTGAGAGCTGTTCAGAAGTGGAATTCTCTGCCCCAGAGTGTGGTGGAGGTGCCTTCTTTGGTGGCTTTTAAACAGAGGCTGGATGGCCATCTGTCAGGGGTGATTTGAATGCAATATTCTTGCTTCTTGGCAGGGGGTTGGACTGGATGACCCATGAGGTCTCTTCCAACTCTTTGATTCTATGATTAGGAAGAACTTCCTGACTGAGAGCTGTTCAGCAGTGGAACTCTCTGCCCCAGAGTGTGGTGGAGGTGCCTTCTTTGGTGGCTTTTAAACAGAGGCTGGATGGCCATCTGTCAGGGGTGATTTGAATGCAATATTCTTGCTTCTTGGCAGGGGGTTGGACTGGATGACCCATGAGGTCTCTTCCAACTCTTTGATTCTATGATTCTATGATTAGGAAGAACTTCCTGACTGAGAGCTGTTCAGCAGTGGAACTCTCTGCCCCAGAGTGTGGTGGAGGTGCCTTCTTTGGTGGCTTTTAAACAGAGGCTGGATGGCCATCTGTCGGGAGTGCTTTGAATGAAATTTTCCTGCTTCTTGGCCGGGGGTTGGACTGGATGGCCCACCAGGTCTCTTTCAACTCTATGATTCTAGTTGGAAGAGACCCCAAGGGTCATCCAGTCCAACCCCCTCCTGTCAAGCAGGAAGACACAATCAAAGTCCTCCCAAGAGATGGCCACCAAGGCAGCCAAATAGCTCTTACACTCAGGAGCGCCTTCCTGATGTTTAGGTGCAATCTATCTCTCCTTGCTCTCATCCAAGTCGTGGATTTCGTTCTCCTCAAGCGGCAGAACGAAATCCTTACCCGGGCTTGGCCTCCTCTGAGCATCTGCAGAGTGCATTCCGGTTTTCCAACGGGTGACTCCGAGGACCAGGAGCGGGAGAGGCGTGGCTCCTGAAGGGAAGGTTGCCCAACTTCTTCCTCCATCCTTCCCTCCCTCCCTTCCCCTCTCCCTGAAACGGTTCTGTGGCTCAAAGCAACTGATGCGGGTCGAGAAGGACAATGGCAGGGAGGACCCATTCCGGATGGGCAGAGGCTCAAGGGAAAGGGAGGACGGGGAGAGGATGGCTTAGGGGCGCTCTTCCCAAGGAAGGCCAGCTTCTCGTGCCCCCTCCCCTCCCCTCCCCCTCCCCCAGGGCAATACAAGGGCTGTGTCTTTACCTGTCCGAGGGTTTCACCTGGAGCCACAGCCTCCGCCTCCAGCCGAAGGGCAAGCAGCCCCTTCCATCCCAGCACTGGGGAGGCGCCGAGGCTTTCAAACTCCTCCTCTTGCGCCGGGTTTTCTGGGATTTGCAGTTCCAGTGCTGCTCGACAGCTTCATCCATGTCTTAGATCAGGCCTGGGCCAACTTCGGCCCTCCAGGTGTTTGGACTTCAATTCCCAACAGCCAGTAGGGCTCGGAGTCTGGTGGAAGCTCCTTCCTTGGAGTCTTTGAAACAGAAGCTGGATGGCCATCTGTCAGGGGCGCTTTCTTGTGTTTTTCCTGCATGGCAGATGTGGTGGGATTGGATGGCTTTGGGGTCTCTTCCAGTGCTATGATTCTATGCATCCTCAATGCTGAAATGGGCATACTTACTTAGACAATTCCTCGTTGAATGTATTGTCAAAGGCTTTCATGGCCGGAATCAATGGGTTGTTGTAGGTTTTTCCGGGCTATATGGCCATGTTCTAGAGGCATTTTCTCCTGACGTTTCGCCTGCATCTATGGCAAGCATCCTCAGAGGTAATGAGGTCATTATCACTACCTCTAAGGATGCTTGCCATAGATGCAGGCGAAACATCAGGAGAGAATGCCTCTAGAACATGGCCATATAGCCCGAAAAAACCTACAACAACCCAATTCCTCGTTGTCCAAGTATTTATTTATTTACTAGCCATCCCCTGCCACATGTTCAGAATGCTCTTTGATTGTAGGTGGACTATAAATCCCAGCAACTACAACTCCCAAATGACAAAATCAAATTTTTTTTTGAGTGAAGAAGATACATTGGGTTGTTAGGTGTATGCTGTCCAAATTTGGTGTCAATTGGCCCACTGGTTTTTGAGTTCTGTTAATCCCACAAACGAACTTTACATTTTTATTTATATAGATTTATATCCCACCTTTCTCACCCCACAGGGGACTCAGGGTGGATCACAATGCACATATACATGGCAAACATTCAATGCCATAGACACACAACATATATAGACAGAGACACAGAGGCTATTTAACTTTCCAACTTCATGTGGGGATGCTTTTTGACTTCTGGCCACTGGGGGAGCTTTCGCTTCACCATCCACATTTGACACGGCTGGAGTACTTCCTGATTCTTTTGCACCGCTGATTTATGGCATCATAAATTAGTTAAATTAGCCTACCCGCATGAGTGGTACCTAAATTTCTTACTTGACAGAGGCAATTGTCTTCCGGGCTGCAAAGGTCGACAGCAAGCTAGACAAATGGCCAGAAGCTCACTCCGACCTGGGCTGGCTTCGAACTCATGACCTCTCGGTCTGTAGTGATTTTAATGCAGCTGACTCCCAACCAGTTGTGCCACAACCCGGTCCTTTATGATGGCCTTCCAAGTGTAGGGTCTTGGTGGTGGGTACATAGGTGACTTTGGAGCCCTATTCTTGACCTGCATGTTCTCCCGCAGTGAGGGCATCTGTTTCCAGGTGGAAGGCGGTCCCAGTCGGGGTAGGCTTGAGGCGCCTTCCTCTTGACACATTTCTCTCTTTCACCCTCCATTTGTGCCTCTTCAAATTCTACAGCACTGGTGGTCACAGCTGACCTCCAGCTGGAGCACTCAAGGGCCAGGGCTTCCCAGTTCTCAGTGTCTATGCCAGAGTTCTTAAGGTTGGCTTTGAGGCCATCTTTAAATCTCCTTTCCTGCCCTCCAACATTCTGTTTTCCGTTCTTGAGTTCGGAGTAGAGCAACTGCTTTGGGAGACGGTGGTCAGGCATCCGGACAACGTGGCCAGTCCAGCGAAGTTGATGGCGGAGGACCATTGCTTCAATGCTGGTGGTCTTTGCTTCTTCCAGACGCTGACATTTGTCCGCCTGTCTTCCCAGGAGATTTGTAGGATTTTTCGGAGGCAGCGCTGATGGAATCTCTACGTAGATGACACACAACTCTATTACACTTTCCCACCTAATTCCAAATAAGCTCCCCAGGTCTTGGACCAGTGTCTGGCAGCTGTGGTGGACCGGATGAGGGCCAACAAGCTGAAGCTTAATCCATACAAGACAGAGGTCCTCCTGGTCAGTTGCGAGGCCAATTGGGCTATACAGTGGTAACCTGTGCTCGACGGGGTTACACTCTCCCTGAGGACACAGGTCCACAGTCAGGGGATCCTTCAAGATTCCATGTGAAAAGGATCTTGGCCTCTTCATGGAGAACAAACTGAACATGAGCCAAGAGTGTGATGCAGCAGCTGAAAAAGCCAAAGGGATTTTGGGCTGCACCCAAAAGGGTCTAGGTGTCCAGATCAAGGGAAGTCATGGTGCCCTCTAGTCTGCTTTGGTCAGACCTTCTCACCTGGAATAATAGCCCTGTGTCCAATTCTGGGCCCCACAATTCAAGAGGGGTATCTAAGCTGGAAGGTGTCCAGAGGAAGACGGCCACTAAAAGGGTCAAAGGTCTGGAGACCATTAATAATCCCTTTGAGGAGAGAGGAAGGGACACAGAATAATTCTTGGAGGTATATGTATATTCCCTGCAAATTATTTGTTTTCTTTTCTACAAAGATTATTCAGCAACTAGACAGGAAATTGCAGTAACTTTGTGTTTACATTTTAATGACTAATTAAAGTCCTCTTATCCTTTGATCCCGTCCCATTTCCAAAATCCTCTCCCAAAGGGAGGTCCACCTGGCCCCTTTACTGCCCCTTCTGTTTTGTTTGTTTTGTCAATTTACTGGCTTTGTGATGTGTCCACCCATGCTTTTCAATATGAACTGGTGCCTTTTGGAATTGTCTTACTGTTCCTTTGAATTATAAACCTTATCCCATTGTTAATTAGGATATTTTATTGTAAAGGTTTGATCAAAGACAGAGCTTCCACCATGGATGCAGAGTTCCACTGGTGAACAGCTCTTCTTATGGTCAGGAAGTTCTTCCACCTGTTGTAAAGAGCTTTTTAATAGTAGCTTATTGTGTGTTCACCAACATGATTATGTTGCCATTGTTATCGAAACACCAGAATCCCCAGGCTCCAGGTACTAAGGGTGCTCAGAAATGGATACCGCAAATGCCCTTTCCCCCAATTCCAGGTGACATCTGAATGAACTTGCCAAAGTTGCAAAAACACACTCCAAGGAATATCCCATCATTTGGTCCAGGAAGAAACATAATCCCTTCACAATCCCAAAGAGTCTTAGGATGACCTTAGGAAGAGCCACAGGGGTTTCCCAAATTATTATCGAGTCTTATCCTTGGGAACACTTCTTGATCCCAATCACCCAATCAGACCCCCTCCCTGGGACTCCATCGAAGCTGTACCAACACCCCTGGTACCCATTCTGTGGCCAGCCAAAACCCATTGTCTCGTTCTAGGGGCACAGGAACATAGTCTTCAATCCCATTAAGACAGACCCTGCCTGCATTCCTTTCCTCCTGAATTCCTCCATGGGTGGACTGAGAAAACAGCCACAAGGCTTCAAATCAAGTGATCACCGTTTATTAAAATTTCCATCAAAAGCAATGGCGACCAGTGTATCTCCACCAACCAACAAGTGGATCCTAGGTGGCCCTGGTCTGGACCAATCATCATCCAGGGCAGCAAAGTGTTTTGTTCCAAAGTACTATCAAAGTACTATAAATAAACCTGTATGTTGCCAATCACTTTTATGTCAGTCTTTAAAGCACAGACTTTGCGGGCATCCGTTTGGCTAAGGTGAATAAATGTCTCTGTTCCTTTTGCCTTCAATCCATTTGTGTTTCATTTCATTATTTGGAGCTCGGCATGCCGGGCCCGGAGCCCGCAGTTTATGGGGAGCTAAAAATCACATAACACCATTGTTGAAACCCAGGAACCCCAAAACCTGTGGACCACGAGAGGTGTGACCAGATAGCCATGAAGAGTCCCATCAGCTGGCATTCAAGAGTTCCCCTGATCTCCACCTTACCTAGCCAACAATGAACCCTTCCACCTCACAATGAATGAATGAAAGGTCACTGAATCACCCAATCACGCTTTTGTCTCTCCCTGGGAACCCATCAAGGTGTGCCAACACCCATTCTTTCTTCAGTTTGGACCTATTGTGAAATCCCAGCTCACAGGATTAGAATCATTAAGACCCATCAAACTCAGACTGTGTCCTTTCCTTAAGCACCCAGAGGAAGTGGACACAGAAAAAAGCCACAAGCTTCAAGCAAAGCAATGACAGGAAGGAGAAAGCTGTGTTTCTGTAGAGACATTGAGAGGTAGGTCCTTCTGGAGCTGGCGAAGGGAGAAAAAGGAGGGGAAGGAAGGAAGGAAGGAAGGAAGGAAGGAAGGAAGGAAGGAAGAGAAGGAATGAAAGGAAAGAAAAAGAGGGAAGGAGGAAAAAAAGAGGAAGGAAGAGAAATAAAAAGGGAAAAGGTACAAAGGAAGGGAAGAAAGAGAAAAAGAAGGGAGGGAAGAGAGGAAGAGAAACAGGAAGGGTTTGAGGGAGGGAGGAAGAAAGGAAGGAAAGAAAGCAAAAAAGAAGGGAATGAAAGGAATAGAGAAGGGAGGGAGGAGGGGAAGTAAAAAGAGGGAAGGAAGGAAGAGAAAGGAAAGAAAAGGTAAAAGGGAAAGAAAAGGGAAAGAAAAAAGGGAGGGAAGAGGAAGAGAAAGGAAAGGGGGAAAAGGAAAGAAAGAAAGAAAGAAAGAAAGAAAAAGAAAAGAAAGGTAGAGGAAAAGGGAAAGGTATGTGGGAAAAGAAATAGAGAGAGAGAGAGAGAGAAAAGGGATGAAAGCAAGGGGATAGAGGACACAACAACATCTGGGCAACATCAGGTATATATGCTAGCATGCATGTGTGTGTATATAGGCTTAAACCATGCATATTTAATTTTCCCTGCCTTTTGGCTATTTGGCCTGTGCAATGCCTGCCTCATGCTTTAGCTTCTGTGTGGCTCCTGCAGTTTAAAGGGGAAGGTGCAGGTTGCTGCCCCTCTCCTGCCTTCCTTGCCTTTCCTCCTCACTCTCCTAGCTTTGCTCTGGAGGGAATTTCCAGAGAAAATACGCTTGGATGAGAAAACAGCCCATACATTTGCGCCACCTGCTTCCAATCAGTGGCGGTCTCCAAGTCGGGCTTCTTCTTCCAGGAATCAGTGGGCCCAGCCATGACATATGCCCAATGCACACAAAACGTAGCTTAATGCAGCACATCTCCCTCTCTTCTAGACATACAAAGA